GCCGCGGGGTTTTCTCGGGGCAGGGGTCGGGCTCTGCCCCGCCGAGTAGGCAGGCGGCTGGAGCAGGGGTTTTGCTGGGCGGGGGGGTTGTTGCCCGCTGTAAGCAGCGTTAGTGGAGACTCGGTGATGGGCAGCTCGGTCTCTGGGCTGCTCCGGGGCAGAGTGAGGGGAGCAGGGGGGGTTATTTAATGCTGTAGCAGTCTGGTTCTTGGGTATCGGGGACTGTTCGTGCCGTAGGCAGCAAGGTAAAAGCCTTGAGAGGCAGTGGTGGTGGAAAGGAACTGCTGCGATTGAAGCTTCGTCAAAGTGTCTGTGGCATGCTGTCAGACCTCTGATCGTTGGCTCGTTTAAATTCTGAAGTTTGTAAACGTTTAGGACCGACCTCAAGGGACATCCTACTAAACTGTTTACTGTTCCAATAACCCAGCAGGGCCTTGGCTGTTGTAGCTTTCATAAAATAAAACTTCAGCAGTGGTGTCAACATAAACTTACCCTGTCCCTGTGCAGCAGGTCGCGGTGGACAATGTAAGCGAATATGTCTCCTGACACTGTGCAGGAAAGGAGTGTGGTGGAGGAGTTTGTTTGCATCTTTATAAGCAGTACCACTACATATACTTAAAGGTTCAGAGAGGTAGCAGATAGCTCTTTCTGTGAGCTACAAATAAACCACACCTGAGTATTCCCCTTCAAGAGGTACTTTACTAACAGCAGACTTTTTTTGTCACTTTTGATGTAGCCTGAAGTTGAAGCTCCCTGCTCGGGGAGGAGAGATGTTTTTTTCTTGAGGCTTCACATAGTACGACAGGGTTTCAATGGATGAGGTGAATGGAAAAGCCAAGCCTGTAGCAGGCATGTTCTCTATAAAGCAGAGTAAGAATTGTCTGGGAAGTAAGGATTAAGGTCTTATCAGTTTTCACCTGCGATATTGTCTTTTAACCAGACTTGTTTCAGAACTCTTAAAAATGCCCCTTGGGGTGGGATGCTGCTGGACCAAAATGATCTCGTCAGAAACTCTCCTGCCATCTTCAAACCCCTCCTGTGATGTTCCAGGAAAAGTCAGTGGCCACAAGTCTGCGTATGCAATGGCTGCAGCACCTCCCAGTCCAGAACAGCTTTTAAAACTTAATTTATAGCTTGAGATGTAAAATCTTGACTGGCAACTTTGAGTAGAAAAATGTCCTCGGGCCTGTTGGTGAATGTCTGAAAACTGCCTCTGTTATCTGGAGCTGAGGATGGTCATGCCAAGGAGCTTCCCATCCTTTCCCACCACTGCCTCCCCATTTCTTCTTGGAGTTTGGCATTTTTCTGACAGCAAGAATTTAATACTTCCTTCATTTGAATTATCCTAATGTAACTTTTTCTTAAGTTTTTAAATAAACTAAGACAGCTTTTTCTTTGTTTTATGTTAATAGGACTAAGCAGCAGCAGCATAACGTTGCTACCCCTTCTTGTATGGTGCAGGTTGAAGGTGTTTGTAAGCAGTTGTGATATTGGTCTTGCCTGTATTGTTAGAAATGCTCATCAGTTCGTTCATCATTTTCTATGCAAATGACATGTCTAAATGCCTTTATAGTGCTATTTAGCCTGTGGAGCAGTATGTTATGCTCTATTCTTAGCAAAACTTCTGTGCCTGATGAATTTAACTAGTTATTTGGCTATTTTGCTTTGTTTGCTTGTGTTCAGGAAAGCAAACATGAACTTTGTAAAGGGGAGCATGATCATTAAAATAGTGTAATAGTGAAAGTACTAATTCCTTCAGCCTTTCAGCTTTAAGCTATTGTGCTAGTGAGGTCCAGATAAACTCAAATTTGCTTAGCAAATCAGACAGTACTGTTTGTTTCTGGAGCAAAGCACATGTTGGGAAGGATGAGCTTGTTGGAATTTTATAGCCCTCTGTAATTGTCTCTGACTATTTCTGGTTGTTTTTAAACCTCCTATAACTCGTCGGTCAAGTTTGAGTTGATTTAGTCAAAGAGTTAATCTCTGTTTTAAGAACTGTTACAAAGGACTTCCTGACCTCAGGTGACAGACTGTTGTACTTGATCTGTCCACTCTTAAGGAAATCTGAATGTCTCAGAATATGTAAATCAAATTGAAGAGGACTTAAAGCCCCCAAACCTTGGATTTTTTTGAGTTAAAAGATCAGGAGGAAGTAGAGTTGAAATTAATGTGTATTGAGAACTGGACTGAGGAATAGGTGGGTTCTTTTTATGTCAGGGCATAGACAGCCTAAAAGGAATCCAAATCTTAGACTGACCCTAGTGAAGAACAAGTATGCTGTAGGACTGTTGATTTTTCCCCAAAGAGAATTTTTGCTTTTCCCTTCCCCCTCCACAGCCAGCACCATCAGTGAAGCTGGTGCACATTCCAGTAGTGATATCACATCACTGGCTCTTGGTAGCTAAAACAGAAGGGAACGAGCCAATGATGGCTGCTGCACCAGACAGCCAAATAGCTGCATGGATAAGCGTTTTACTAGCACAGTGTGTACTGTGTGCAAAGCGCCCAGCCAGGGGAGGGTGGCAGGCTGGGTTTAAGGCAGCTCTGAAAAAGAACTGGCTCTGTGTGTGCTTATTTGTAGTAAACACTCAAGTAACCTGTGTGAGAGCATAAAAGCAGCAGAGCAAACATGCAAAACAGACCTGCACAAGTGACAGGATGACAGAACTCTGGCTGCTTTTCCAGGGTTTAACAGCAGCTGGGGTAATTCCAGGGCTGTAGAGGAAAAGCCTTGAGTTGCTGCTTATTTGACAGGACTTCTTACGTAGTTGTTCTTCTCCTGTAAGCTGTTCTTCTCCTGTTTAGCTTCCTTTTCCCTCTGTTGTCTTCTGAGCAAATGAAGTTTGGGGTTTTATTTAATTCACTGCAAAACTACCAAAGTGACACGTTCAATATAAGAATCTGTTCTTGGCTAATTGCTGGTAGCAGTTCAGAGCTGTTTTTTTGTACACTGTATACAAGTCAACTATTCAACTGTTTTCATGTGTTTATTATAACCAGCTTCATTTAATTTATATTTAAGTAGTACAGATTATTTAGGTTTCTCTTTCTGTGGTTTCAACTGAAATCATAAAGTTGTCCTGGACACACTTTTTCTAGAAGAGAATCCTCTAGAGATGTTAATGGGTCCATATCTGTAGCTTCTGTCAGGAAGAACCTTTATGCTGTGTTGTAAAGCGAGTGCTTATGCTCTTAAGCATTGACTGAAGACACATCTATAGGAGTGCTGTAAAATGCATTACATATATGAGTTTCAGAAAAATTTCTGTTCTCAAAGTGAAGGAACTCCTTCACAAATGGGAGATAGAAGGAACGAAATTCATGTAAGAACTGCTAATTGTAAAGTGACACTCTTTACATTTACAATGAAACCAGTGATTAATGCTGATACACTTGGCTAGGTGAAGAGAGAGACTTTAGATTTTGCAACACTTCAGAAATGCCTAACACTGTTGTTGTCTATTGCATTGATTGGTTTTTTTGTTCACTTAAAGCAGTGGCTTTGGTGACAGTTTGACAAAGTAAGAGTCAATGGAAGGATGAACGTAGAAGTGGGCAGAGATTTTTCTTTTCAGTTTTAAGTAGGTGATAGCAACAAGAAACGATGTTCAAAACTGACATGCCGTACCTAAATGCTGAATCAAATTTCCAGGACTTCACTCTCAGTGTGTTCTTGTGAGCTGTATTGAGTAGCTGATGGCAGAAATAACAAGAGTGTGAGAGTTACAAATGTCAACTATTAAGCCTTCTGGAGAAATGTGGGATCATGAAGCAGTAACGTGTAGTCAGCCTAATGTCCACTGCCCACTATGGACTTGTGTGTGCAGCCTCAGAAGATGATTGGCATATTCTTACAGGCCCCTCCTCCCCAGGTCCAAAAATATCACAAATGCTTTGATTTTTTTTTTTAAAGAAATGCCTCAGTAACTGTAACTGGAGATAGCTTGAATATTGCATGTAGTTTTTAACGTTGTCAGGGGACATGACTAGAGTCTTAAACCTCTGATTTAGCAATGCTAGCTTGTTCTTCTCAAGGTAAGGTTCATTTTCTTTGTGTGATCCAAACTGGTCTGATGTCTACTACTACTAAATCAGTTTACTTCAACTGTCTTCTGTTCCTGGAGGGCATAGTGTTGAAAGCACAGGTATTTTGTTGAACATGGGTCCTGCAGAGAAAGACACCTACCAAGCTTACTGTCCTGGTGACTATTGCAGAAGAGTCCTGTGTTTTCTCTTTGGTGCCTGAACCAACTTGGCACCCCGGAGGGGGATGGTGACTGACGTGAATTTGATGTGGTTTATCTCTATTTCCCTGCAACTCGGTCTGTCTTAGAAAACATGAGGAGACCAAGGGCAGCAAAGAGCAGTAACCATTCCTGTGCTGCTGGTAGTTTTTCTTGCAGCAGCAGTGCAGGAGTGTGATGCTGTAGGAATATGTCTTTAGCTCAGAGCCTGTGCAAACGGGGAGGCAGGAGGAGATGGGAAGTTCCTGTGGGTTTTCA